GGGTGGATGGAGATATGGAAATATGCATCCTGAAGATCAATGGTGACGAACCAATTTCCCTGAGACAAGAGGGGAAGAATGGAGTCAAGGGTGAGCATACGGAATTTCTTGTGAAGTATGTACAGGTTGAGGTCTCTTAAGTCCATGATGGGCCTTACGCCCCCATCGTTCTTGGGGACTGCAAAGTAGTGTGAGAAAAACCCATCGGTACTGTCAGATGGAATTTGGATTATGGCCTCTTTAGATAACAGGGATGAGATTTCCAAATGCAGTGGCTTGGAAAAGGTGGAGGGATGCGGAATAATTCTATCCTATATCCATGTTGAATGATACTAAGGACCCACTTATCAGTAGTGATGTTTTTCCATTCTCGTAGGAATGGAGATAGTCTTGTATAGGAGGGAGATTCATGAGAATTGCTTACCCCTATGCTGAGTCTTGCGAAAGGACTGCTTAGGGCTACGAAAGCGTTGTTGCTTGAACAGTGGCGTAGGAGGCTGCTGAACTTGGTAAGTGCGGTCCTGCTGTTGCTTACTGTACTGAGAGGGCTGGTACTGAGTAGACGATTGGTACTGAGGCTTTTTGTAGGCAGACTTATGGTACCTATACAGCTGGTATGGTACGTAAGATTTCGCCATCTTTCTCATCTTATGGATATTGTCCATAGTCTCATCAGTTTTAGAGTTGAATAGTCCCGCAGCATCGAAGGGAAGTTCTTCGATCTTGGTTTTGGTGTCTTCAAGGATGTTGGCTGTTCTAAGCCAAGCGTGGCGTCTAACAGCAATGGCAGTCAGCATGGATTTAGAAGTGATGTCAGCTGCCTGTTTTGCAGCAAATCGCTGTTGCTTGGTAAGGGGGTTAGCCTCTTCATAAACGTTAAGTACTGGAGCTATCTTGTCCCACAAGTGCTTCTGATAGGCGCCCATGGCGGCCTGGTAGTTAGCAATTGTAATCAGCATTGCGGCGAACGAATACAGCTTCTTTCCAAAAGTGTCTGATTTCTTTCCATCTTTGTCAACAGGTGTAACTGATGATCTGGTACGGGATTTGTACTGAGTAGTTTCGACCACAATGGAATTGGGTGAAGGATGCTTGGCCAGAAAGTCAGAGACCGAACCATGAGTCTTATAGTGGTGTTCAAGCTTGCGTGACACCTGTACCAATGTAGAAGGTTTGTCCCAAGAAGATTTTACCAGCTCAAACAGAGCAGGAATGAGACTGAGGCTAGGAGCAGAGGTTTTGTCCTGCTCCATATCATGGAAGACATCCGCATAATAAGCTGTGCATAAGATGAGAAGTCCTCTGACGAGGGCTGAGATGACGAGCCTTGGGCAGCAGTGTCAGGGGCATCAGAGTCGGTGGACACCGTAGATGGATTAGACGACTGCGAGGCGGTTGGAGAACGCCTCGGTATTGTGTCTTCTGGTGCCATTTCCACATCCAATTGGGTGGGCTGGGAGAAGGGTACAGTATCGTGGGTATTGGGACCGGAGTAGAGCGTTGTGGCTCGAACCAAAGAATGTCCACTACTGTAAGGACGCTTGGGAAGTGCTGTAGGTACCATAGGAAATTGCCTCTTACAAGATGGTGCTTGAGGAGTAGAAAAGTCCTGTTGAGTATGTGGCTGACACCAGATAGAAGGAGCCACGGTATGATGCCACGGTACATGTGCCTGAGGCTCCAAATGGTAGGCGTAGCCTGGGTACGGACACGGTTGGAACGGAGCGTAAAAAGAGTGGCCAAACTGTGGTAGTCCTCACGGATGGTACTCATCGCCTCCATCCCGAGGCTGGTACGGAGCAATATTTTTGCGCTTCGCGGTACGCTTCCTAGGAATTCCATGATCAGACTCCTGTTCAGATGGAGACTCGGTATCAGCCCGCCCTGAGTATCGAGGGCTTGGATGGGCAACGGCCCGGCTGGCATCTGGCTCAGCCTCAAATTGGCCCGAGTTTGGTAGCATGGACATATGTTACTGAGCCGGCTGGGCTAAAGGAATGTGCTCCTCTACATCAGAGAGTCCAATTGCTTCCCTCGAAGACTCCTCAAGCAATATTGAAGGAGCGGGAGGATGTACAACAGGCAACTTGGCTGGTTTCTTCGCTCTCTTAGGCTTATCGGTAGCCTTCTTTTTTGCAGGGCGAGAAGGCGGTTTGGAAGCATCCTTAGCCTTAACCGGCACAGAGACGGTAAGCAGCGGTTGGTCCGCTGAAGAGTCCTGTTTAGAAGCCTCAGCATGTGGCGGGGACAGTGCTGTGAGGGAGGTGCTTTCCATCTTTGGAGACAGAGTCTTTTCGTAAAGGAAAGCTCGAAGTCTTTGGCGCCTCAACTTAATTGCTTGCTTTGAAAAACCTTTGCAAGCAGGGCAAGACTGATCTTGATGTGATTCTCCAAGACAAAACAAGCATTTATCGAGGGATCGTTGATTGGTGGGGGGGGTGCGGAGAAACGTGACAGAACAAGTAACTCAAAATCAGCAAGTTCTGTTGAATAACCATTAAGATAAAGTAAATAATAAAACAAGAGAAAAAAGCTAGCTAGCTAGCTAGCTAGCTAAGTACTTAACGGTCGATAGCTTTGCTCTTCCTACGTCCTACAGGAACGGCGGAAAAAGAGGAACTGAAAGGAAGATGGAGGAGGCGGGGCTTATATACCCCGCTGGGGGGAGCTAATTGACTCTTTTTTCTTAAGCTCTAGAATCTTCCGGACGTTCCTGCGCAGGCGCAGGATAATCCATTTGTGTGCATTCACAGAGACACTACGAAGAACTCTCAGATTTAGGTATACAGTGGACCCTTGACTTACAGACGGCTTGACTTACAGACTTCTCTGGCCGCAAAATTTAGGTTTGACTTGCAGACTGAGATTTGACTTACAGACCCGAAAAAAAACAAAATGGAACAAAAACGGCCTGTTACGGGATTAATCGGCTTTCAATGCACTGTAGGTCAATGGAGACTTGACTTACAGACTTTTTGACTTGAGAACCGCCTTCCAATACGGATTAAGTTCTCAAGTCAAGACCCCACTGTACTTGGGCAAGCTAGGCTACTGACTGGGTACACAAAGGTGACACCTTCCACATCCGCAACATGTTTTCTCTGAGCACAGTTCATGGGGGTGAGGAGATTAAAAAAAACTGGTAGGAGCTCTGTCTACAAAATGAAGGTCCACCACCTTCTCAAATGTGATGTTATTGTGTAGCGTCCCCATTCCTAGGTCATAAATAGCCATAAATAATAATCGTATATTGTCAAGTCAATTCTGGCTTATGGCAACCCTTCAGGGTTTTCTAGATACAGAGTACTCAGAAGTAGTTTATTATTCCCTTCTTCTGGGGGGTATACTGGGACTGTGCAGCTTGTCCAAGACTGCATGGGCTGGCTCTTCTGAGATGCACAGTAGGGAACTGAATTCCCAACCAACGCCTCTGCAGGCAGAAATCTAACTTATTGAGCTATCCAACCCTTTATTTTCTTTATTTTCAGTTTTTTCTACTTATCCACAAATATACAAATATGTACAACTTTCTACCAAAACCTAAAAACAAATGGTTCAAGATCACCACCAAATCAGGTTGGTGGACTGTCCCAATTTGTATGGCAAATATTTGGATACAAATTGGACTGGACATTATGCACACATTCCTAGTTGCACATCTTAAAAGAAATAGCCACATACACTCAATTCCAGAACAGCAAACTACAATTGGAACATCTGGTAATCTGTGGACTCTATCTTTTCTATGTGTGATTATCATGGGACAGAGATTAATGTAATAATCCTTGCCACTCACAAAAATTATGTAGACCAGATTGATGTTCCCCTCAACTTTAGCTGCATTTGGCATTTTTGATATAAAAGTTAATATTATAATAAAAAACAATGGGCACTCTTACTGGAAATTGCTTGGAGTTCCAATATCTGCTTTTGTCAACCTCTTCTTTTTTGCTTTTCCTTTTTTCTTCTCTTTGGTATATGAGATATTGTTTACTTGTGAACTATAAAATCTATTAGTGGTGATTTCTGGATTTTTGATGTCAACAGTTGCCATTGGTAGACTTGGACCTGTACAAGTACAAAGAGGCTGTATACTTATTTACATTCATTTGACCTACTCTGTGTTCTCTACATGCAATACAAGCATTTACAGAATCACGACAGAGGCCTGAAGAGTAAAATTATATTATTATTTTTACCACATTATCTACTCAACTCTGACATAAAAGTTACAGGATTTCCATCAAGTTTTTCTTGTTTACAAAAACTTTGAAAACTTGTCTATTTTATGACTATGTTTAACTGAACTACACAAACTTTAAATAAATTTGATAATTTCTTACAACCACAAAGGCAAATATTCTCTCCCTCTTCATTCCATAGCTGCTGTTTAAAGGTCTAACAAGTAAGAATGGGAGAAAGGAGATTGGATGTTAGACTGGCTAGTATAACATATATTGTTTCATTGTGACTGAGCTATACACTATGCTAACGTATCTCACAAGTTACTGTGATGATAAAAACTGGAAAAACTTGATAAAACAAGATAAAAACTTGGGTATATTACCATGAAATCCTTGGAAAAGAGTGCTAAACAGGTGTGATCTTCAATAAATTTTCTATGTTGATCTATGCACATACACACACACACACACATTCATATACTGTATATAGGTACGATCATATTAAAAGTTTGTTCCTTTACCTTTATGAAGAAATCTCTTTCAAAAACAGAAGATTAGTGCAAGCATAATATAACAGCCCACTTATCTACTTATAAATGTTATTTGGATGGATTCAAACATGAAGCAACTACAATTTTCCTGGAAACTACAGGAAAAAAAATATCAAACTGCCTGCCTAAAAACAGGGCTTCCAAACATGAAAGTGATATACACGAACATGTGACACTAAAGTACAAAAAAATTTACCCGAATAATCAGTTGCCAAGAATTTTTTATACTAAACCTTCTGCCTCCTTTTGGAACTACACTGAAATTATTATGTTGTCCTTTATGTGTAATTTTGTGACAACATGCAGCACAATCTTAAATAAATTAATTCAGAGCAAGTACCACCATGTTCAATGACATTTACTCTCAAGTAATCATGGATTGGATTGCAGCTTCTGACACTTTGTTAACAAGTGTCAGAACTGCCAGTAACCTATAAACAGAAAGAACTTTCAGTTGATTAGTAACTATGCTTACCACTTTCAGTAGACTTTGGCTGTCCATGAAGAATACATGAATCTAATAAGCTTCCACTTTCTTCTAACACTGCCATATTTATATCCAGCAAAATTTTACCCATCATAACACAAGCACCTTCCCCGTCAGCTGTAGACAGCTCCATTAGTGAAGATGAAAGGGGTCTACAAAGTTCATCATTAGGAAGAACATGACAATATAGTGGCCCTAAGCATCCACTGAGGTTGATATCGGTCACATCCTCAGACGGTTTTCCCGAAAATGTAGTACAAAACATTGCAGTGTTGTGAAAACTCTGTATATTCTTCAAATGCTTCTAGCTCAAGGGCAATCTGCAGAACACTAAATCAGATTCTAGCTTATATGTTAAGAGGAAAATGGTCACGTGATTCTCAGCAAGCTTTTAAAAAACTAATTCTGATAAATCCCCATTTTCATTCCAACCATTATGATAAGGGGTCAGTAAAATCAAAGCTTACTGCTTCACACTGAGAAGACTTTTCTGTTGCCAACTAAAACAACAAAAAACCCCATAAATCCCAGGAAATTACAGGCTAATGCATTTTATATAACCATTAATGCCAATCTGTTTAATCCTACAATTTTTACTATGCAATGTTAACAGGGGTTTTCAACAAAACAGTGATTTTGTTTTAAAAGAGATGAAGACCTCTGTGGTCTGTGGCAAAATTCAACTGCTTAAGGATACACAAAGGTGTTACTTCAAGCCCATGAAGAGATAGATAATTGATTCTTGCTGGTGATTCTGCAGTTGAATGCCTGCGTATATTCTACAACTACTGATGTCAGTATGTCAAATGGCTTCAGTTCACTTCTTAAGCCATTCCAACAACATCAGCATATGTTAAGAACAGCTAGTCACTACTCTACTAGTAATATTTACACATTTTCCCTCCTAGGCTTTCATACCATAGACGGTGCCTTTTTTTCAATTTAATTTTATTACATTTTCAAAAATGTTACTACAGTGCAGCTAGCACAGATTACACTACAGGAAATCTGCACCTGTATGTTAGAAACAGAAATATACACTATAATGTTTAATCACACAGTAAATTTCTAAGGAGTACTTTAACTTTCCTCACAGGTATTCCTATTGCTGTTTGAGTTGACAACTGCCTCCATGTCCTTGTATCCAGAATGGATTTATTTTTATATAATATATTGGTGAAAATCAAATATAATGGACATTACATCCTCTATAAACTCTGTCAGCTTGAATAATCAAGAAGAAATGGTTAGACACAGAGATGCTCAAATATACCAAGGCAATATAATCTATCAATTGGACACTGCTTGCCACTATCTGAAACAGAACGATTTTGACCATGAAGTTCAGGTGGATATAAATCACAGTCATTAAAAATATAATTTTTCTTTGTGGTATTCTGTAATTAAGGATGGTTGTAACATCATGCCTTATATACTTAAGCACTGACTTTTCTCCAGAAATGCAGAGATTTTATGAAGCTAAAACTTCAGGCCATGTTGTTTACATATCTAAAGTAAAGATAGCTTGGTATCCTGCAACAGGAGAAAAACCTTTTTAGATGCAATTCTGTTGAATTCATAATTCATTATCTATTATTTTGTCTACTATATGTCAATCCATGGATAGGATTTCAGTTGTGCTTTCTCTCAAAATCTCCAGAATCCTGTTGGAGATTTATGCTACATTGCAAAAATTGAGGGGGGAAACTGCCACTAATTAATGAGCTGCTGCTTGCATTCCGAGTTTATGATTTGATATGTAACCAGGAATTTGACCAGCAACGTGTTAAGCAGCAGTGATTTGTAACACAATTTGTGCAAGTAGATTTAGAAATAAATTCCCTATATAATTCTAGGCAATGTACAGATGAAATACCAAAGGATATCTTAAAAGCACTGCTGACATTTAAATTTAAAAGAAAAGTTTAAAGGATTACTCTATTTGCTATAGCTACTAAGAAATCACACCTTTTTTTTAAAAAATGGAATTGTTGATTCTTCTATTTGATATTTGTTTCAAATTAAAATCTGTACAAGCACTTTTCTGGATGCACAGTTTTGTTTTTCTATTTGTATTAAACAGATTGACCTTCTTGTAAAGATTCTGTTTATATCTAAGGGCCTTTGGGATACTTGTGGCAATTCTGCCCCTTCTATTATTATTTATAAATAATAATAGCAGGTTTGCATATAAGTGGGGACACATGATTAGTATTGCCTATATAGGCTGAGTGCTGACTGGCAGATGAGAGAAAAAATGCTGAATACAAGGCTGCATGCTGATTAGCTGATGTGTTTGAAATGCAGTGCAAGGTGCTGTTTAGAAAGGTTGATTTTTTGGAGTAGTCAGTGACTTAATCATAGAGACTGTCTTGTGGTTGTGACGAGAAAAGAGCAGAGGGAGTCTGCAGAAACAGTTAATTTTAAAATTTAAAGACTGGATAACAGTTTATATGGAAATGCGAGTAAACACTATAAAAGATTATATATCCATTATCAGTGTTTTCCACTTTAGTTTTAATAGCCCAATAAATTACCATTTCCTTCTTTCCTTATATCTGTATTTCCTACATAAACTTTTTCCCTTATTTTATTTTTAACTGTAAATATATTACATATATTTACAGTATATATATAGACCCATAACTGTCAGAGAAAACAGAGCGTGATACTCATGTTTGCTCAGACTACAGAAAACTGAAACTTGAAGAAGACAGAGCCCACATCAATAACAACTTTTCACTTAATAACTAAATAGTATTAATATCAGCTGGTGCTAGGAGACATCATAAAAAAGGGCAACCCCAAAGATTTTGGATAAGTCTGGAGGCGGTCGCCCTTTGGGCTAATACCCAATCTAATAACACTAAGAAGAGGTGGCTAGGTTTTAGGACAAAAGTACCAAAGAAATGCCTGTGACTACCTAAGGAGTGTGTAACTCACTAGAATGAGATTACTGAGAAGGGAAACCTTTCTTGGAATGTCATAATATGCAATAAAATTCTGTATGCCAAATTTCAGCAAATATGCAGATAATTTTTATGACTGATCAGTTAGTATATGATAAGCTGGAAGTTAAATTAAATCTGCTTAAATAGGAAATGAACAACAAATTAAATCTTACCATTTGGTAGATCTCTCCTTTTCTCTGTGAAGGAAAAAAAACACAGAACATTATCATTCCATTCATGCATGTCATTAAAACTTTTTTTTAGTCTTCACAGATTTGTTATCCATGATTTATGTTTGCCAAGCTAATATTTCAATGTTCACATCCTAATTTAGAAGTTGTAGTATAACAGGTAAAAAAACTAACCAACCTAATTCATTACAGTAACAGTTTTATTATCTCCCTCAATCCAGCTGGAGAGAAGACTCCCAAGAGTTTAAAAGACTCTCTCTCCAGAACTGCTATTCTCCCAGCTTGACAACCGGTTTAGAAAGTCATGTTTCCAACAAAATTACAATTAAAAGTGCAAGTTCAGAAGAGAACCAACATTAGAAGCATTAGAAGCATGATTTCTTCATGTTTCTCTTAAAATCTGAATTATCCAAGAGACTTCCCCCCACACACATACTATTTCTTCCAGTCTCAGACACGATCTAAGAACTATTTAAATCTCTGTATTTTCTTAATGTTAAAAGAGTAATAGACAACTGGTAGGCTTTTAATTCAATTAAAACCATTTAAACCTAACAACCTTGAGAAAGTTTGAAGGTTTCATGTAACAGTGGAATGTAGAAAGCATATAAATAAATGAAGACATACCTAACATATAACACGTAAGAATATGTCTGGGTTTTTTTTTTTAATAATGCGGACAACCCAGATAGTGTGGTTGCTGACCTTGAGCCAGACATCCTGGAGAGTGAAGTCAAG